TATAGGCAATTGGAGAGAGGGGTGGATAACTTAGGGGCTTTAAATTTACAAACTAAACATTCTGTGGTTGGTGTCCTTTTTGTATTTATTTTTCCCTGTGTAGCAAGTGAAAGATTCAAAAAGAACAATGCTTAAGGTGCTTAAAATAAACTTTCCTCATTTCCTTCAAGTCCTTTCTATTTCTAAGCAGTTGGATTTCGAGAGAAAAAGTATGTTGTCGAGCGGTTCTGCCAAAAGCTTAGTCCAAAATCTTTAGTCTTTCCTGGAAATTGTAGCCAGTGTTTTGCTTTTCTGCTATTAACACATTACCCTTTGCATGCCATCTGATATTTGGCATATTTTATAAACAGGCTGAACACTCTAAGCTAGATCCCAGCTACATTCAGGTTTTATAATTATATCTTCCTGCAGTATTCTTCCTACTCAGATGGCTAATAAATAGTTACTAATTTGAGATTCAGCTTTTCTCTTTGTCTCTGCAAAATTTAGAAATTCAAAATGCAATTCAGAAAAAAATACTTTCTACACTTACTTCTACCATTATGTGTTTGGTGCCCAGTAATGAACCAGATTATGAGGGAAGTGGGTCAAGAGAATCATGAGATCCAGCTCCTTTTGAGGATCTTCTGCTCTCAGGGAGATGGACAACCTTTGGGTGCTCTAGAATTCTGTAAATCTGAGTGACACACATGGGTCACAATGATGCTGTTAAGTTCTTATATTTTATTATAGTTTTTTTGTATATAATTCAGCATTGGGGGACAAAGTAAGTCAGCTTGACACATCATATGGGTTCGTCTTTACTCGGCAGTAAGACTTTATGTCAGTAACCTTTTAAATAAAAATACTGCATCCTTCCAATTCAGGAAAAATATAAATAAAATATGGCAATCTTAAAGGGCAAGACATTAATTCAGTTTAAATCAGTGAGTTAAATCTTTCATGATTCCATGGCTCTCTGTGAATAGCATTAGCACGCTGTTCCACATCTGTTTGTGTGAGGCCTCGACACTGAGGGTCCTTGGAATTTATCACGATACCATATTATGGATTATCCCTCTTTCTACCTGGGTTTTTTATTAACTCTGTATCAATTTTGAACTTCTGAAGGCTTGGTAAGGGAGTTGTAAACTCATTAAAAAGACATGGATGGATTTAAACTACTCACCCACTTGCAATGTACTTCTCTGAGCCTCCGAGGGGAGTGATTGCTGCTGATGGACCTGGCAGTGGTCATACAGGAAGATCTACTTTCACGGCTGAAAAGTCCTTTACTTTTCTGAAGCCGTGCTATTAGTATTTGTCACTCAGAAACCACCAGTTCTAACCCCATCAGTTCCTAAATGTGGAAGCTCACACACGACGACTAGCCTCTCTGAAGTCTCAGTGTGTCCCCATTTATAAAACTGAGATAATAATATCTCTCTTTAGGGCTGTAAGGATTGAAATTATATATTTATAATGCCTGGTGAAATGCTCGGCATATAGAAGGTGCTTAGTAAATTGTTGTGAAGGTAGCAGTTTTCAGGACTCTCTCTGGTCTTCAATTTGGTGGTTAAATATATATATATATATATATGTATTTAAGAGGAATCTGTTGAATATATTTGAGCTGAGGAATAATGCAAAAGTGAAAACATTCTACTTTCTCTCTCTTTGGACCTTTATTGTATGACTTTAAGTACTGAAATCTCAGTCCATCAGACACACCTTTGATGAAGTTAAGCAACCAAAAGATAACCCAGATCAAACACATGGCTTTGAAGTTATTTACAGCACTACTACCCCTAAAATAATTGCACCGAAGTACAATGATTTAGAGCCTCCCAATAGTTCTCTTGCATATTGTTTAAAGCTGATGAGGTCCTATGAAACTCCTATAGTTTCATTGAAATAATGTTTAAATCTAAAGGTCTTCTGTTTACTAGTTGTTTGATCCTGGTCATTTAGCTCATCTGCAAATTGAATACTAGACACCATTATTATTACTCACAGGCTTGTTTTAAGATGGGATGAGACTGCATGGAAAATGGCTTTGTCATTCAGATAGCTGTTATCTTAAGTTATGCTAAATATCCATGGAGAGGGGGAATGGGACTTCCTTTAATGGAAAACTTCAGACACACCTCCTTTCTCATGTGAAATAGGACAGACTATACAGTTCACTGGATTCTTCAAAATCGGTTAAGAGGAAATATTTCATCTCATGGCATGTATTTCTTTAGGAGCTATCTATTTTAATAGTTTTAGCCTTTCTCAATTACTAGCTTGACTCCTCCCCTCCCCTGGGTTGTGTGTATCTACCATATTTTGTTTATGATGGTTTGACTGGGGGGAATTTGTCAGTACTTACCGGGTTTCCTTTGGGATCTGCTTCCCTTCAGAGAAATGGACCACTTTGCTCCTGCCCAGAAAGGCCCATGGTTTATAAAAGATGCCTGTGATTTGATAGGTGGTCTGCCTAATTCTGGGGTGAAGAACTAGCAAGCTCATTGTTGCTGCTGTACACCTCACCCATATTTCCACCCTACCCTTTATCCCCAGTAAGCCTGCTATTTTTATCTTCAACTCAAAAAGTTCTATATAAACTCAAAAATTTTATTTTTTTTATTTTTAAAGATTTTATTTATTTATTTGACAGAGACACAGTGAAAGAGGGAACACAAGCAGGGGGAGTAGGAGAGGGAGAAGCAGGCTTCCCACGGAGCAGGAAGTCTGATGCAGGGCTCGATCCCAGGACCCTGGGATCATGACCTGAGCCGAAGGCAGACGCTTAACGACTGAGCCACCCAGGCGCCCCTAAACTCAAAAATTTTAGAACTCAAATGCGGGGGAGGGAGTATTCTTTATTAATCTATGGGAAAGTAAGGGCTGACTTTTCCCAGACTGATTCCTCACAGGCTGGCCTCTGAAAAACCCCATAGAAACCAGTTATAGCTGAAAGTTTAAGACAAGCAAACCACTTATGGTAGAACCCTGAAGTGGCAGTGTAGCTGGGATAGCTTGATTTCTTCAACTGATGAATGCTGAAGCAATGACATAAGGACAGTGCCAAGGTTCTGCCACACGGTGGCTAGGACCACAGGTTTGGACTCTAGCTGTTCATCACACCATGTGGGGGCATTGTATTCTCTCAGCCATGCAACTTAAAAGCCCCACAGCCTAAAGACTGAGGTTTCTCTTCCAGTGCTGAAGTTTGGCCCTGATGGGTACTTGAATGCTGTTCAAATGCAGTGGGAAGCAGGTTCACACACCTGCTATGGCTTTTGTCTCTGAATTTCCCCCACCCTGAACGTGGTCCCGAAAGCCTGGTGTGTGTGTGCTCCTTACTCGATCATCCATCTTTGGTTGCTGTCACCTCTAAATGTCAGCATTATCTGTCCCAATGGAGTGATCATAATTTATCTAGAGCTCTCTAATTGACAAAGAAATTTCATACAGATTATCTCATTTGGCTAAGACAACAATCTTGAAGACACAGGTATTCCTTACCCCATTTCACAGGCAAGGAACTTGAATTCTGAGAACTTCAAGGTCATATACAATGAATGACAGAGGTGGTTCTCTGTTATCCAGATCCTTGGCCTCTAATTCCTATGCTCGTTGTATTATAATCCTTTTGTAGGTGTTGGCATTTCCATAAACATCTATTGGGCCACACAGCAATGCCTGATTCCCTTGTTGCTATAGGAATAGTTGAATGCCTTGTTTTCTAAAAGTCTTTTTCTTTATCTCAGCAGTTCCAGCGATGGATTTTGCTTCAAATAAAAATAGCCCATCTCTCTCTGCTCTCAAGAGTTTATTTCTCAAAATTACACCAAAGCTGAAGAAAAAAGAATAGATATTGCAACTGGTAGCATCTGGATGCCACAGAAGTGGTACTGCCAGTGAAAGATGAAAGAATACTAGGTTGGGATGGATCTGGAAGGATGGAAGTTTTGTATTTGAGCCCAAAGGGAAGATTGGATGATAGAAGGGAAAGGTGGAAAAGTCAGGAAAGAAGGAGGGGTTGGAAGAAAGAGAAGTATACATGCACTGCCTTAATATTGTTGCTCTGCCCATTGGTAGAGTACAAGTAGAAATGAAATCTAGATGGCAGCTCCAGCTTCTCAGACCCAGGGGAAGTACTGGGTGTGCAGGGTGGTCAGGCCACTTTCAGCACTCCTGGGACCATCAGGGACCAATCGGAATTATGACCATAGTGGTGCCCGACGAGTATGGAGTCTGGTGCAGTTCACAAAGCACCTTTACTCAGAGGAATTAATTTTAGTTTCACAACCCACCCACTGGACCAGAAGCTTTCCTGACGTAATCTCAAATAAGGGAAGAAAATAATGACATCTAGGTCCATGCAGTAAAGAATTCTCCTCTTCCAAAAATAATTCATGGATGATTCAGAATAGTTTTGTTAGGGATGAGGGCATAGGTACACAATATAAAATGTGAGTGTGGCGTCTTGAAAATTTTTACTATTTTAATAAAGACAGCATGTAGGACCTTCCAGAGCAAGATCATGGTTGCATTTTTCATGCTAATATTGTTGAGCATAACTTTGGGAGAAGAGGAAACTTCTAGATTGAGTCAAATCAGAGATAAATGATGGTAGAGAGTAGAGCTGTAAAGAGTGAAAGCTGAGGGCCTTTTGGAGACACCAGGATGAGAGAGAGGATAGATAAATGGATCCAGTGGATGGGGCTGCAAAGTCCATACAAGGCAGATATTCTAAAGCTGGGAGTATAGAAGAGGGGAAAGAGCATTCAGTTTGGAACCAACAGATTCGAGCTTGAGTCTTGGCACTATCGATTAGGTAACTCTGAGCAAGTTACTTAGCCTCTCTGAGCTTTTGCTTTCTAATCTGTAATAGAAAAGGCGTAATAACAGCCATAATCCCTACCTCACAAGATTGAGAGAATCATATGTTTGTGTTCAAGAAATATCTTTAATTTTTTAAAAAGTGAATCAAGGAAAGTTATCCTGAATGGCTCAAAAATTCTTTCCAGCCCTAAAATTCAGTGACTCTCCAAACCAGGAAAGACCAGCAATGGAGAAGACAATCAAGATGTGATTACAGACTGAGGAAAGCACCTAATGCCAGATGCCTGATGACCTGAGTTGACCAGTGTGCAAACCGAATACACATGTTTGGACCTGAAGCTAAAGAGGGGTGTGGGTGAATTCGGGGCCCAGGAAAGAAAGGATCCCCCTTTTCTACAGACTAAGGAAATGAAAGAATTTAGGTTTGGAGTGGACGTGAGATCAAACAAAGAGAGTGATCCCGTAAGTTGGGGCTAAATTAGAAGAGGGACTTAGAGCCCCAAAAGACAGTGAAGATGGAGGGCTGTTGCAGTGAGGATCCCAGACAGGGTAAAGCAAGATATCTTTTCTCTTAAGGAGCTTACAGCCAAATGTGGCGCACAATGAGGCCAAGCTAGCTACAGGGGAGAGTTTAGGTAAGACAAGCAAAGCAACTTACGGTATCGCCGACTCTATTTACCATCTGCTTGGGATTTGGTGTAGGAGGCCAGTGTATTTTAAAATTAGGAAAAGGAAAAAAAACATCAAGTCAGAGTAGAGCCTAGAGATTTGTTTATGCTTTTTAATGCCAGAAACTTCAAATGGCTTTTCTTCTCTGCGGAAGGCAAACCTATCTGTAGTTTTGCACAGTTGAGAAGACGTGTTTCCGCTATCCCTCGAAATCTCACTCCCTGCCTTGCAGCCACAGAAAGAATCACTATGGATCCTCACATGTGCCAGAGCCTCTCTCACATCTCTCTGCTTTGCCACATTATTCGCTCTGCTTGTGCCTCCTGTCCACATCTGTCCAGCAACCTCTATACTTCACCCACTTTGTCTAAAAATGTGCAGGAGGAGCTTCCACTTGGGGAAGACCTTCTTGACAATTGTCCCTGTGTGTCACCAAGCAGACTGACCCCACATGCTCTGGGACACTGTTTTACTTTGTTTTCACCTCTATTATTTGGCTATACAATTCCTGGGATGGCTTGTTTCCCCTTTTTTTTTGCTCCTGTTAGGCCATGGATTTCTACTAGAGACAGAGAAATCCTACTGAGATGGCACATGAATAATGTATGGCATTTATTGCATGATTATAACATGGCCTAAGATCAGTGGTTCTCAAAGTTTCGGTTACATCAATAGTGCTTGCTAAAAATGCATATTTTCTACCCCCAACCCCAGAGAGTCTCATTCATTTGGGGCTGGGGGATCTGCATTTTAACACCTAGGTCACCCTAATGCAGTTGGTCAGCTGACTCTGTTTCACAAAATACTAGCATGGTTTCCTCATGTCTCCTCTGGCCTCTTGCTCCTTAACTCTAGACTGTTTCCCTTCAGGAAGCAGGGGAGCCAGGGACAGTAATTTGGTGAAACTCAAATCAGGGGGACACACCTGGGTAAAATGTTCTGTCCTGAAAGTCAAAGGCACAGACTAAAATAATAATTATTTGTTGGTGATGTTTATCCCCATTTGCCCTTACTTCCTTTTCCACTGACAGTCCATGACTGGCCATATTTAAAGCTGTGCTGGTTGATTTTTTGTTTCTTTCAAGGAGCTGTGAATAACTCCTCAAAGCTAGAAGAATTCATGCATTTGAAAACTGAATTGTGATGAGCTTATCTATCAATGGCATGATGCTTCCTCAGTCGTTCTGTTCTGAGCAATAAATCTATAATCATTGGAAGCAAGAGCCTTTCATTATACATGTTCATATAGTTCAGTTCAAAGGCCCAGATTATCCAAATCGACACTAGCAACAACAGCTACCATTTATTTACATTTCATTTTGTACCAGGGCTGTGCTCAGTGTTTTACATCCAATTTATTTTTTAATCCTCGTTAACACCTTTGCAGTTAGTTTTACAGATGAGGAAAGAAGGGGCTCAGAGAAGTTTAAAGAACTTGACCAAGGGGCAGAGCTAGGATGAAAACGTGTCTGACCACAGCACCTAGATTTCCAAATTACACTACAGGCCATCTCCTTAGAGCACGCTTCTGTGGTCTACAGATGGTAGACTGGTCCTGGGACACAGGCAGAACTTAGGACCCAGGCTTCCAGACCCCCCAGTATAATTTCTTGTTCATGATCTTACACATGGGAAAAAAGAGGAAAGTTGGGACTATTAGTAATTAATTCTGGTGAAATGAAAAAAAGAGGGAGACCTCTGACTTTCCTGCACTTGTTTAGCTAATTGGGAAATTCTTGATTCTTCTAGAAATTGTGGTTTCTAGAAAACACTTGCCAAAAGGCTAAATCATGCTGTTATATGTGGCCTTGGAACAGATTATCTGGGCACTGCCCCATTTCCACCAACTTCTCTTCCCCCAGTTTTGTAGAAAACGCTGACAATCACATAATTCTTGGTCCATTCTGAAGATTCTCAAAACCTCGAAAAGCCTTGTTAGACCCGTTCAACCATTGCAGAGCCTTTTTCACCAACTGGCAAAGGATAATAGCTAAGCCACGAGGGCAATATTTTAGGCTGAGAGCAGGCTGGTTTTGTGGAAGTCCAGCAGCTTCTGTGAATATTAATCAGAGGCAGAAAGTGGCATAAGCAGCACCATGAGCAGCTGGGGCTGACTTGGCGTGGGTGAGAGACCCTACGAAGTGGGACAGAAAACCCTAGCTTGGCAGCAGGCCCCTGAATTTACTCTCAGCTCTGCCTGTGGCCCCAAGACCTTAGAGGAAGCTCTCAATCTGTGTGGGTCTGGTTGTTATTTTAGATGATGCTGTTGGTGTAGGTGAGAATCGATGAGAGTATCCTTGAAGGAACTTCCCACACCTCGGCTGTTAGGAGATTAACCCGTCGTCTGTCTCTACTGGCTATTTCATGGTTTTTCTCAACAGACCCTCACAGCTGATGTGACTGAGATCACTGCTCACAGCAGGACTGCAGCTGGCCTTGGAACTGAACTGCTGAATATTTATGATAATTGAGAGCCTCAGAGATGAGTCTGAACTTGGCGATGTTGCCCTTACCACTTGTGTTCTATTTAGGAACCAACATAGTTGTCCCGGTTGGAGGTCATTGTTGCCTAAGTGTGGGGTGTGTTCACTGTGAGGTGAAGGGTGAATCAGGGTATTGCCTAGAAAAATATTTTTAATGTATAATTAGGTATTTATTTTACTGCATGTTTTTTAAAAAGATTCATTTGAAAAAAATAAGTAAAAAAAGTCAATTATATAAAGCAAATCATAATACGGGTGGTAAAAGAATATGACAAAAGTCACGAAAGTGGTACATGAATGATGACAGCTTAGGATCTCTTCCTGGGATAGAAACCCATAACTCCTTCAGCAAAATTCTTGGGGCCAGATGTGTTTCAGAATATCTCATGCATTCTTGTCACACCCAAGGGTAGCTGGAAAGGGACTTTAAAATACATTATTTCCACCGTAAAACATATGAATACTTACTGTAACTAGGATGAATAAGGTCTATAAATAACATCACATCAGTGAGGTCAAGTGTTGCAGCCAAATGAGTTATAAAAGGTATCGTTTTTCAGATGTTTTTGCATTTTGGAATTGTAGATCCCATTTTTCACCTGTAGTAAAATAGGCCAAGAGGAAAAAGAGACAAATCCAAGAACCTTAGACCTGAACATACTTAATAGTTTCTAAAACAATTTCCCTCTCATTATCTTATTTGTGAGGTATACACTCTTGTATTACAGATGAGGAATCTGAAGCTCAGAGAGGCTAAGTGACTTAGCCAAAATCACACAGCTCAACTGGTAACAGCTGGGCCAGGACTAGAACAGAACTCAGGTTCTCTGTCTCCAGGTTCTTGGATCTTCCCATACCATAACCTACACATCATATAATAAGTTCTGAAGAATCAAAATTGCAGAAGTTGACTTCTTGAACATGGAGTACAGAGATTCTTCCTTCCAGGGACTCTCTTAACAGACTCTGTAATTTCCACAGGGAGGCTTCTTGATGAAAAGGATGAGAGTGGAGGACATAACTTTGACCTTTTAATGTTTGAACTAAAGATATATCCAAGGTGGTTGGATCACTCTCTTCAGGCAGTGCATAAAACCCAGTCCCAAAATGCTTGTTATGGTCCAGGGGCATTTCAGAGGAAACATTGCCTGCTATTTTGAGAAATTCTAATAGTGGTAATCATTTATTGAACACCCGCTATAGGCCAGGCACTCCTCCCCATAACATTCTGGAATGTTATGACCACTCCCCTCCTCCAGATGAAGAAATGAGGATTCAGAGACCAAAGCTGGTTTGGGCCAGACAAGTCAGGTTTGGGCCAGATGTGGTTCTGCTGGGGTCTGCAATCTTGCCTGGTACTGTACTCTAGCAATGACAGAGCCCCGGATTTCTAGTCCACCCATGGGAGGGATGCCTTTTCCCTTGACCCCAGGCTGCTGATAGACAGACAGGCTAGACGGATTGGTTTAGGAGGCGGCAACCCAAGCACATCTTCCACAGTCCTCATGAGGGTGACTTCAGATGAACTCAAGAGTGCTGTATTTGCAAGATGCAGATGCAAAGGCCCTCAAGGAACTTGGCCATGATTCTTGATGTGCTCCAGAGGAAAGAACCTTTCACAGAGCCCTTTTACAACTGGACCCCGCACTTCGCATGCCTGTGTCCCAGAAATCCAAGTGCAAGTTGATTCAGCCACCTGAGTCTGATGGTGCAGCCTCCAGCAGTAGGGGAGTCAGAGGGAATTCACTATAGTCAGGAAGCCACAGCAGGTGTGCATGGTTAGAATGTGACACAAGGGTGGAGTTTGGGGAAGGACTGGGAACACAGGCTAAATCACAAGGAGCCTAGTTGTGCTCACTAGAGATGGTTACATTTGTCCTATAGGCAATGGAGAATCACCCAGTGGTTCTTGACTAGAGGAACAACATGGTCATATTTCCATGTGTGATCTCTTATTTGATTTGGAAATCAGGGACCGCCTCCCGGAAGAGGTATCAGTTAACCTAGGACTGAAGGGATGGGTAGGATGTCAAGCAGCAGAGGTGTTCATCCAGGGCAGAAGCAGCCGTGACAACAGACAAGGTATGTTCAGGGTTCGCAATGCTATGAATCAAAACAAACCATTTCCATGTTTTGAGCACCTGCTCTGTGCACTGGCACATACATTTATTAACTCCCTTAACCATGGCAGAAGCCCTGCAAGGAAAGTCTTAATTCCTAGGACATGGAGGTGGGATTCATATGCATTCCCATCAGACCCTAAAGCCCATTGTCTTCCCATCCCACAGGATGTCTCTCCAATGGAGAGACACAGTCTTGACTCGGAACACAGAGGGAGCTGGAAGAACAGTGGAGGCTCAGACAGAAATGAAAGTTGAAAACATATTTCAAAGAGCGTTGACAGCTTAGTGGCTATTCCACATTTGATCTCTCCATTACTGCACTCAAACTGTGCCTGTTCCCTAATGGGGCAATGTTAATCAAAATGAGATTATTATGTGCAGGAGAGGAGTGCTCCCAAGGAACCAGTTTTAATTCCAGGATTAATTCTCCTAACTTAGTTACTGTTCCTTTGTCTTTGTCTTTCTCTCTCTTCATTTTTATGAGTCCATATACTATAAGTGAAAACTGGAAGTCATGAAAAAGAATCCCAGGAGCAGGCCTGCATCTAGGACTGTTCAGAAAGCTGTTTTGAGGACACAGAGAAATTCCAGAGAGTTGGCTAAGATTTGGTGAACGTGAGCTGGATCCTGGGGTTGGCCTGTGGGGGATAGAACCATCCACAGAACAGCCCCCTACTCCCACCCACCTCACAAAGCTCAGAGGATTTACAGTAGAAGTCAAGCAGATACCTCTGGAACAGTCAGAGACACTTGCAAGCTTAACTGTTAGCTACTGACTGAAAGAGAGGAGGGCAGTGGGGGAAAGTGGGGCCATTATAGATGGCAACAGGCAGGGAAGGCTCCCTGCACTTGCAGGAAAGGCCCTGCATCTTGAAAGTGGTGCCTTCTTGAAGTTCAGGTGCTGGCTCCCTGACTAATGGGCCCAGTTTGGGGGCAGCATGGAGAGGGGCTCTTCCCTGCTGTGAGCATATCCCATTGAAGCAGACCCATTGATAATTTCAGGTCGTCCATACACCAGTAGCACCAAGATTAACCCGAGGGGGGCAGTTACAGCTAATTATCCTGTGGGGTCGTTATATTATTAAGAGCCAGACCTGTATCCCCAAACCCTCTGGGCTCATACAAGTTAAAGTGACCCAAAGAACCTAAAGTGAGCACCCAAAGGACCCAGGGGTCACCTGAGTGTGGTTTCCCTTGGCCCAGCCTCAGATCAAGTGTTTCCAGGATAAAAAAAACCAAGGGGACTTTAAAAAAGTAAATGATATTGTCAAAATTGAAAGAGTATCACTTTTTCTGAGAAAAGACAATGACTCTGCATGTGTGTCATGCTAAAGTTCAAGAAATGGCCACAGGGCCCTCAAGTATCAGTGTACCTTCGACCCTCTTTTCTCCACATCAGGATTTCTCTGTCTTTGGGAGCATGGTGTGAGCCAGCCTGAGTCTGTCTACCATTGAGCCCCTGGGGTGCAGCTTCTTCTGGTCTGATGCCAAGACTCTCCCATTCTGTCTTCCAAGGTTCTAGAATCCCACCCCTTAGATGTTGCCTTTCCCCACTCTGGCCCCACTGATCGTGAGAGATTTCTCTTCTCATTGCCTCTAAAGACAAGCAGATGGGCTTCTCTTGTTTGGAGGTTTTTTTGTTTTTTTGTTTTTCCTCAACTAATCACAGTGGGGACACAGCACAGAGACCACAGTAACATGCACAGGTTACAAAGTTTAGGAAATCTTACACAATTTATGCTACCATGGTCTCTTCTTACAGGTGCTTGGCAGATTGGCCAAGCAGAAAGTGGTCGTCGGATCTGGGTCCAGATCCTGGTCTAGCTACTTACCAGCTGTTGTCCTTAAGCAGATCAGCTACTTACCCCCACCTGGTTCCTGGTGTTGTAGAGACATAAGATCACACATACACAGCACCGCACCTAATGCCCGGTATGTAACAGATGCTCCACACAGAACTGTGTTTGCCAACATAGTCGCTGGGAAGGCCCTTGGACCCCAGGTCTCTATCTTCATTCCTAAAGGTGAGGGTCATCGCTTTCTCCATGAAGACCACGTTTCAAGCTTACAGGCTGTGGATGGAAAATGTAGAACCACGGGCACCAACCAGTCTCTCCAGCTGCCCCATTTGTCTGCGGTAGGTGATTGCAGTTTTGAGGATACAGGATGGGCCTGGGGCCCTCCTCACTGGACCCCAGACACATATGAGTGAAATGTCCTCTGAGAGGAGTAGCTTGTAATTCTCTTTTCTCACTGAAAAGTCAAAACCAACTGTTCTATTTCTTTTCACATTCTCTTCTCATCTCAGGGTAGTGAACATCAGGCCTTATTGTTGCTCCCGAGGTAGGGAGGCAAAGATATCCAACCATATTCACCATCTTGGAACATGTTTCACATCAAAGCTGAATTTCTCTTGGGCCCTTGACTATCCCTGAACTCTGAGGCAGAGGTTTTCGTAGAGATGAATCTGGCCAGAGCTTCATTATCAGCTGGGAGAGTCAGTCACTGTGCCCATCTGGTTGGACACTGGTCAGGCCACAAAATGCCGCATTCCTCCTCCCCCCGCCGCCCCCCCCCCCCCCCCCCAGCGAGGATCCACATCCATGGCAGGCCTGCCACTCCCATAGTCTCCCTCAAGGTCAGCTCCCTTGGGGGTCGGGATTGGGTTAGAATTTGGATCCCACATTGGGATCCCACTTGGGGGTGGGATTGGGTTGGAATTTGGATCCCCACGATCACTCAACAGAAGTTCTCTTGGGGGCATCCACATCTGCACCCTTCCCCTATCATGGTGTGATTGGGTGTGCAGAGCTCCATACATGCTTCACTCCCCCTGGAAGAGGAAACCAGTGCTTGCTGAGTGCCTGTCGTGCTGAGCACCGGTTGCAGAATGTCGTGCGTGGTCTCATTCTCTCTCTCTCAATAGTCCTTTAAAAGCAGGAAGGAGAGCTGAAAGGGTGGGCAGTGAGTTTGATGGTTCCCTGGGAACTCAGGTGACAAGTTTCTGTTTGGGAGTTAAATCAGGAAAACCCAATCATGGCGGAAACCAAGCAAGTATCCGCTGATGAGAAACCCGGGGGTCTGGAACCGTAAGAAACTGTAATCAGGTGACCTGACCCTAAGAAGACTGAGCAGGAGTCTTTGGAACCCACTTAGCAGATACCTATTCACTTGTAATTTATGGTTGGGTGAAAAATCGAAGGGGGAGAGTAAGGCTGAAGAACAGAATTTAAAAAAATCCTCAAAGAGCCAGGAGTGGCTGTGTCTTTCAAACACTGTCCAGTGGAGAGTGTCTGCTGCCCCATGGGCATCACCATTCCTATTTCTGGGTAGATATATTATCTCATGGATCAGTCTACACAACTTGGCATCTCCACTGATCTGACAAACCTCTGATCAAACCTTGCAGTTTTGAGGTCCAGA